CGAAGAGGTGCAATTGAGTGGCCCCCTCGGTCACCCGACTTAAATCCTTTAGATTTCTTTCTCTGGGGGCACATTAAAAGCAAAGTTTACAGCACTCCACCTGATACCTTGGAAGATCTGCGAGGACGAATCATTAATGTATGTCGCGAAGTAACACCGCAAGTGCTCCAGAATGTTCGACAACGGTTTGAAGACAACCTGTATCATTGTATGCAAGTTGGCGGACAACATTTTCAGCATTTACTTGACTAATACCGTAAGTTTTGAAGTAAAATTAAATCGATTTTCGCATTTCTCGTCAAAAATATTGTTCGTATTTTCAAAGCTGCATATTTTCTAAAATAATGAATCGATTTTCAAAAAGTAAGAATCGATGTATAGAGAATTAAAAGCCCTTTCTAATGACGCCCCACTTGACCCCCATTCCCATTTGAAAAAATTTAGGGGATAGCACCCCCACTTAGGGGGTTGAAGATTTTGGTATGCTTTTTGAGCCAAAAGTTATCCCCCTCAGAAGCAAACTTTACCTGTTTTTGGATTTGCCGAAAAGTACATTACTACCCTGTAATGCCTTGCAGTACGTTTTCGATGGGCTACCCTGTATATGGGTATGGATAAATAAATATGAGAACAAGTTTTTCAAATATTTCAGTGCCGAGTTGCTGCTTAGCGACCGAGCCTGGTACATACCTTGAAATTATAGGTTCTTTAATTGACTTCGGAAAAACTATATAAGTAGTTTTAAAAGTACGGTATTTTTAGTAACTAGTCATCGCGATTTATACCTGTAATAAAATTTGGTTTACTAGCGTATATTATAATGTAAAAAATTAAAATAATTCCACTAAAAAAAGATTCCATTAAAAAAAGATTCTACTCTAGAACGTGTCTTAAAAAAAAGTTTATGATATATGATATTTTTGGTTTTTGCCAAGTTATTTGAAATTTTTTTACCCAAAATATTCAAATGCTCATAACTTCTTGAAAGTTTGAAATAGAAATTTGAAAAAATCGTGAAAGTTACTCTAAACAGTTACTAAATAATACCAAAAAATCATGAAAATTAAAAATGGTCCGGTCACGACCTCAGTGATTTGGCATGGGATGCCCTGTATACTTATAACATACCTACATATTTATTTAAAGAGAATATAGGTAATGTTTTCTTCTTACGTAAAGGAGAAATAAGTTTATTAAAAACATTCATAATAGGTACTTATGTAAATATCCTTTCGTTATCTATTTACGTCTGCAGGAATTATTATGTCCTAATGATTCCGTAAACTGAATTAATGAAGGAACTGAAATACGTGCAACATTCCCTACTTATTAATCAATTTCAATGAACGTATTTACCTCCCTATAAACTTACTGGAGGGAAACAACTAGGCAAAGACAGTCCAAACTGTGTTTAATTATAACATTAATTATCTTAATTAAAGGTACTCCATAATTTCATTAAGATATGCTCTAAACGTGATATTTCAAAGGAGAACAAACAGACTCGCTCTAACAATGACTAGGGGCCATTTAAAGTAGGATGGCTGTTTTCACTGCATTAATTAGAAGGATTTGTGGAGAAATAAGTTCTGTAAGTTAATCTTTGCGTAGTAGGATCAGTTGCCTCTTCGCCTTTCTTCTTTTTTCTGAAAACAATGCGAATAATTAAATAATGAACAAGATTTTCCACGGAAAATGACCATCCCTTTAACTTTTTTTATTTTTGACTGTAGGGAAAATAAATACCATACAAATTGGATAGTCCTTCGAGGGCCACAAAAATTAATACTTAAAGAACAATTGAACATCACATATATGTGACTTCAAAGCGTAAGTTCTTTTTTTAATGGGATATACTGTATTTCTTTATATTTCTACAATCTGTCATGTTTCTGTTTTAGCTTCTACAATTGCTCTCTTTTAATATTAATACTACATTTAAATTTAATAACAATAATTTAATTTACTTAATAACAGAATAATGTAATAAAATATTTTTTGGTGTTGTTAGGTAAAATTTACAAGTTTAAGAGTGTTTAAATATTATTAGTGTGAATTAAAAATGTTACATTATTTATTGTGGAATATTTTTTAAGAAACTAATTTATAATAAATTGAATATAAAATATTCCTTTCTGGTGGGCATGTAAATGTTTATAAAACATTCAAACACAATAGTGTAAATAATGTTTTATAGTTTTATTTTACATATGTTTTATTTACATCACTGTATAAATGCATATTATTATCTAAATGGGAATCTGATTGGTTGTGGTCATAGTAAACTATGATTTACATTTTAAAGAAAAGCAAAAAGAAAACCTTCACGCAAGAAGTAATTTTCATAGAAAACACAGGTTTTCTGATCGCCAAGATGGGAAATTACACGACCAGGAAATGACTCATGCAGTAATTGAATTGTTTCTCGAGCTGTATGGCACGTGGCACCGTCTTGTTGAAAGTGCACGTCCTCTACATCCATATCTTGCAATTTAGGCACAAAAAACTGGATTATCATGTCGCGATATCGAGAAACTTTAACTGTTATCACCTGACTAGCGACAATTTTGAAAGAGAATGGTCCAATGATGCCTCTAGCCGAAAATCCGCCACAAACAGTAAGAAGTTGTGAATCAACAGGCACTCGTGGGTTGAAATGATGAGCATGATTTTGTTAAAAAAATCAGCATCCACTTGTACCATAATCCATTCAACGAACTCTCTTCGCTCTGGGTGTCAGTAGGCTTCAGTTCTTGAGTTAACAGAACTTTGTAAGTGTGAAGATGCAATTTTTCCATCAGAACACACTGTGAGAGCTTCTCGAAATGTCCAATTCTTGATCACGGTGCCGATTTGATGTTTTTTGATTCTCAGCAACACTGTCAGGGTGTTAAAGATCACTAATTGATCCAGTCTCCCTGAATTTTTCAATTAATCTCTTTACAGTTGATGAAATTGAATCACTATTCCGACCATATTTTGAACTATCGGCTGTCACACTCTCTTTACATTTTACCGCACAAATGGCTCAAAATTAAATTATTGCGTGAATTTTGGGAAATTGGATATAAGTCTACTTTATAGCTACGTACCATAAGACCATTAAAAAACTAATATCAATCGATTTTACATCGAAAAGTTCATATGGGACGATTTTTATTTCAATTCTTTCTGATTTAGCAGCAGATATACAGAAATGAATATGTAATTTGAAATCGGACAGGTACCAAATTTCTGATTTGTTTCAGGCATAATAAAGTGTTATCGGTTTTCCTTACCTCACGCATATTAATTAATAATGTTATGGCAAACACTTTTTTTGTAGACTGGAGGACGCTATTCGTCCAGCAATGAATTACATCCGTAATATCTAGTAAACAGCTATGATCACTGAGTAATAAAAAATATATATTTCGCCTAGTGCGACACTAGACTTGCCTTCATAATACCTACATATTAGTAGGTCGCTCTTTGACAGTAGGTATGAAGCAATGATGTATGTCAGTAGGCTATTCAATGTAGTGGTAATAAATAAAATTACGCTTTGTAGGTATGTAATATCACACCCATAATGGTGTATTTTAAAAAGCTTGGTCTAAATTTAATAGCCTTCAAAGTCGCAAACTGAATGTAAAAGACGTTGTATCCGTAGAACACTTCGTGCTCAATTGAAATATATAGATAAATTATGTTTCATTTTCATAAATGCGTTTCTTATAAACTTTTTAACACATAAAGTACATAACTTGCTTTTCAAATTTAGTTTGTCGATTAACAGAAAATTTAAATAAATTTCTGTGTTTCGTCTAAATGCTTCGATCGTGATAATGGATTGTCGCAGTTAAAAATCCATCAGCTACGTCAACAAGATATTTTATATAGAAAACAATGACAGTTTGTGTACCTGTGAATTACGGAAAGCCTAGAAAAGCGATATTTGTTACCAGAAAATTGGAAAGCTACAATGGTTTTGTAATGTAATAAGATATTCCACTTTTACGTCGGATGAGAATCGAGTTACAGACGTGACATTCTCAATTTTTGAGCTTCTGATTTTCCGTCATATCTAATCAGATTTCTTTTTACTTTGAAAAATCAGTGATCTGGAAGAGAATGTATTCATTTTTAATAAATATGAAAACAATTACTTTTTGATTAATAAAGCTCTCATTCATTTAGATTATGCCATAAATAATAGGGGCGCATGTAGATTTTTATGCATTAGGTTAATTTCTAAAATTTTATTATAATAGTTAATAGACATATTTTTTTATTGCATTTAAAACTTACACTAATATTAACATTAACAGAAACAACATTATTGTCCTTATTTTTTACTTTTGATATGGGAAAATTAATTGCAAACACAGTTGGAGCTATCTTAGTTTAAAATCGATCTGTGTAAAACTATCAAAGAACTGAAGGAAAATGAACCATACTCGTGGCTGACACTGGACATGAGGCACAACAGCATGCATATCCAAAGTGGAGAACCAACTGCATGACTAAATCTTTATATATCTAGTCATGCAGTTGGTCAGGAACAACCCAATCAAGAAAACTGAGAAAGGTATTGCGTCTGCTATTGTATCATCTAATATTCACAAGGAACTACTTAAGAATCTTATTTCGATAAACTCAAGAATACCTCTTTATTTAAAACAAATTCACATGCTTTCTTCACGGGACGAGAGTTTTCTAGAAACAAAATGAAATTTCACTCGATGCAGAGAAAATCGCATGAAAATTTGATCCTTTCCAGAGAGGTCTTTTTCAAGAAAGTAAGAATAATGAGAATACCCATTTTAACAATGATGGACATTTGGTAGAATACTCGGTAGAGTATAAGACAAACAAATCTCTACTCTAGTAGAAGAAGAAGAAATCTCTATCTCTCCTTTTTTACATTTGAAAAGATAAAGATTAAATTAAAAAATCATATAATAAAAACAAAACAGAGTACCAGTTTTATAAAGATTTTTAGAAGCTCCTAACTTATTTGGATTATAATGTGGTGTAAAATAAAAGTAATAGATTGATTGATTGAAGACCTATAATTATTATTAATTGTACCGAGGAGGCTTTCGCTGCTGTTCTATTCCTGTTAATGTTTTATAATATAGTGGGGGTTACTTTTTCGAAACTTATAAAACAAAAAATTTGTTGGGTCTAACTTATATAACCAGTCGACTTAAAGAAAATGTAAGAAATAAAACATAAAATTTCTCTTTCTATTGACAGGTGGAGAACTCTTTGAGTACGTACGAGCCCCACGCCTGTATCGTGGTTTACTCCGTTGTTTCCCGATCCAGCTTTCAGCACGCTGAAGAGACTCTCAACTATTTATGGAGGGAGGGATATACGCACGAGAAAAGCGTGATTGTTGTAGGGAACAAAGCCGATCTCGCTCGGGCCAGAGTCATTTCGGCCAATGGTAAGTCACCGTGTTCAGTTTTCATTATGTGGAGTAATTCATTTTGTTCCCTATTAATCCTAATTTACGTGTAAGACCGAGAATTTAACCAGAAACCGTTTAGTAAATGTGTAAACAAAGAAATAATACGTTATATACATACATACATCACTTTAATTCTAATAATGTTCTACTTTCTAACCAATCAGGATTTCGTAAAAATTTTAGTACAGGAACGGTACTTGCGTCTGTGGCTGATGATGCTTTACGAGCTATCGACTCTTCTAGGGTTTTAAGCCTCATGCTTCTAGATATGTCGAAAGCATTTGACTCAATAGATTTTAGCTGCCTATTGGCCAAACTCTTTTTCTATGGAATTCATAATAAATGTCATGATTGGTTTTATTCCTATATTAAAGACAGAATGTAACTTATTAGAATTAAAACTGAAAATGGTTCTTTATTTTCTGAACCTAGAATAATAAGATCTGGAGTGCCACAAGACTCTGTCCTGGGGCCTTTACTTTTTAGTATAATGTACTGCGGACTTTGTGTCGTCAGTAGTGCACACTACTTTGCACATGTATGCGGATGACTTACAAATTTTGTACAGCTTCGAAATTGAGAAAAAACAAACTGCTGTTGATCTTATTAATTCTGACTTGCATCGGATTAAGGAGTTATGTGATAAAAATGCTCTAATGCTTAACCCAAATAAATGTAAAAACCTGGTTATCGGTACTTATCAAAAAACTAGACAGTTGGGGGATTTTGCTGTTTATATTGACAATTGTCCTTTGGAAAACTGTAGTTCAGTAAAGAATCTGGGTCTTGTATTTGATAATGACCTGAAATTCTCACAACATGTTAGTGAATTATGTAAGAAGGCGTTCATCTCCTTTAAGCAAATAGCGCCTTTAAAACGTTATTTGAGCTCTGACATTAAATTAGTATTGGTCGAATCCTTAGTTTTGTCTCATCTAAATTACTGTGATTATGTTTATGGTCCTTTACTTACAAATGCTGATAAATTTAAACTGCAAAAAATTCAAAATTGGTGCATGCGTTTTGTCACATATATACCCTTTCTTCACCATGTTACTCCCTTTATTAGACAGTTTGGTAAATTAAGACTCAGTGAAAGGCGCTATGTTCATTTTTGTGTTTTTGTAAATAATATACTGTGTAATACAACTCCTGACTATCTTTATGAGAAGTTGGTTTGGCGACATGATGTACATAATCGTCAGCTTCGTAATTTACATGATTTGCAAATAATGCGTCATCGAACTGAGTATTGTAGATGTTCATTTGCCTATTTAGCAGCTATGGTATTAAATAATGTACTGGTGCCTCAGGACTTAACACTCCGTAATGCACCTCTGATTAAGAAACGCATTCGAGTTGGTCATGGAAAACGATAACTCCACAAATGCTGCTGTTTTGTATTAATATTAATATACGTGTGTGTTGAGTGTGTGTCTGACTATACTACGTATTTGTATGTGTATTGCACAAGCATGTATGAGTGTTGTGTATGTATATTTATAAGTTATATTGTTTTTTTATACTGTTTTAATAACACTTTATAATCATATTGCTTTTAATATCTGTAAGTTAATTGACTTTCTGAGGGGGAGGCTAATTATCAGTTATCTGTGTCTAGTCCTTTTGTGTATAGGTTTTATATTGCCATTGTAACTATGCACAATAAATATTTTTTATTTCATACTGTCCGGTATATTGCTATTTCCCGGATTCATTTGCGGCCGGTAAGTGAGCTATTACAGTATCAGAGCCGGTAAATGTTGCCTAGCAACGTGATATTAGACATGTCACAAACAATATTATAAAATGACAGATCAAGCGATGTCAAACAAAAATTTGATAATTTTAAGGAAAAAATAGAAATTTCTGCTCGTTAAAAATAGAAAGACAGTATGAAATAAAATATCATACGATACACGGCCGTTAGGTGTTATTACAGTACTCGTTTTTATTCCGGACTCGGCTCCTACGTCGCCTCGTCCGTAAAACAACTCGTAATGTAATAAGTCACCTACCGGACTTGTAACGTAAAATACTATTGT